GCGAGGCATGGCGCCACTGGACGAACCGTAGTCCAGAGGCAATCAACTGGTCTTCTCGCACCAAATTCTACGAGTAGTGGTTGCCCGGTTGCAAGCATTTCGGCACTAAAGTGTTTGAAGAGTGTCGCTTCTCAACGAGGTGGGCACGGCTCAAGCCCCCCAAGCCCAACTGAGGCCTCGAGCTTTTCAAGCAGCACAGCTCTGAGTCACATCAATTTAGGCATGCCAGAGCCCCAAGCAGACGTGCTTGAGATTTTGGGCTCCGCTTTCGCACACTGTTCGCAGTTGCAACAACTCTACCTTTCCCGCAACTTGAGGATCATTGAGCAAGAAGCCTTCCTCAAGTGTACCTCTCCACAGGAGGTTTCCACTCCACCATCCCTGCTTTACATTGCGCGACGCGCTTTTGCAGGTTGCGCGCAACTTCGAGCAATATGCAAGCAAGGAAAAAGTAAAAGATGGCGAGGGACATATGCCCGACCCAATGCCTTTGACAAATGTGAGCAACTCGATCAGCCCAAATGGCTCCGATTTTTGCCGGCCGATGCCAATGATTTATGGAGAGAAGACTTTCTAGAACCTGCACCAAAGGCCAGCAATGCTTTCGCGGCGGGAATGGTGCATAAGCACTCCGCCAGGAAGCTACGTCAAGTGAAATTGAGTAGAGTCGCCAACTTGTTTTCGACATTCACGATACAGTGAGCCAATAGGAATGAGAGCCTTAGCTCCTCGTTCCCAACAGGCGGGTGGTAGAGAGTGGGAATGGAGGATGCCCAGGGGGAACCTTATAGTTCCCTCTGTTGATGTCCGACATTACCAATTTTGTACAAAGAGGCACATATACCATGCTAGGATAGGTCCACGGTCTCACCTGTTTCACACGGCCCTTGCACGCAACAGGACAATGCTTTTGCAATGACGCAGCATTTCTCAAGGTTAGGGCACACCCCGTTCTGGCACCTTTGTGTGCCGAAGGGTGCAGAGATGACCTCCCTTCGGGGGGGTGAGCCTTTCGCACCCTTACCTGCAGGCTTTCGTCGTTTGCTATGGCCGCCACTGCCTGAACACTACCAACTACTATGCCTCTTGACTTGTATGTGCAACCAGTTGCAAGGGTTGTGCTACAAGAAAGGATTTTTCCACGGCATGATCTGCACAGCAACCACTGATCCACTTAGGCAAGGATCAGACCTGCGTTAGAGCATACCAATGCCCGGGACTTGCATTGTGACCAGGTTTTTGCCACTCTGTGCAGTGGCCGCTGGTCACTGGTAATAGTGATGTGAAGTCCATTTGACGACTTCGTTGAGATTTTGCTAGAGCACAAACCCTCGCTGCCATGCTCTTCTTTCGTGAATTCAGGCCCATAGATAGTCAGCAGTCATCGTCTCACTTGTTTCACCCTAGTACAGAGGAAATACTACTTGGTGGTGGAGTCTCGGCCTGTGGGCTGTGGTTGGTTTTGTTTGGTTTGTTGTTGGGTTGTCTTTGTCCTTTTCTCCACCATCTGATTGTATTTCCCTTCCTTCAATGATGACCTGGGCACCATGCCCACACGGCGTCCGTACTCGTGGAAAAAAAAGGTAGCCATTTGCAAGAAGTGGTCAGCAGTGACCGTGTCTCCTGCCTCAGCAAAAGCCAGGACTCGAAACTTCGTTGCTCTAGACTCCAAGATGTGTAGACTAGGAGGGAAGGCCCATTGGACTGGGCACGCCAGTCCGGTCTCGGCGGGGGTGGGCGAGGGGGCAAAGTCCTCTGGGAACAAAGCGACGTCCCAATGGCGTGGACTGCTCATGCGTCGGAGTTTCTCCCTTAGCGACTCCTCGCCTTTTTTTACGTGACGGGGTCACGAATGCCAGCAGGAGAGCTAGGACCGAGTAACATGCATCATTTTCCTGCAAGACCAGGCGGTAGGCCTTTCCTACCTGACAGCCCATATGCACTGCATTGGAAGAACTGGTTGCCAGCTGCTCGAAGTCGTGGCTCTGAAGGTGCGCAGGGCAGAAGATAGCTGCTTGTGACCACGCTGGAAACGCAATGCGATATTCATGCGTGCCCTGCAGGCCAGCTGCTGTTGGGGTGATGTCAACTACGAGGCGGTGTTTCCTGACAGTGGGGCTACTCCCGTCCGGCCATTGGGATTAGAGGTTTCACTTGTGTCTTGAAGTGCAGATTTCGTGGCAGGCACAGCACTTTGTGCAGATTTCGTGGGAGGCACAACACTTTTGTGAACCTCCATGTGCAGATTTCGTGGCAGGTGCAGCACTTTGTGAACCTCCATGTGCAGATTTCGTGGCAGGTGCAGCGCTTTGTGAACCTCCATGTGCAGATTTCGTGGCAGGTGCAGCACTTTGTGAACCTCCATGTGCAGAT